TGTTGGTCTTTTTGAGTGGGTTGTGATGACATTTGGGCTAAAGAATACAGGTGTTACTTATCAAAGAGCTATGAATTTGATTTTCCATGATTTAATTGGGGTGATTATGGAGGTGTACATTGATGATATTGTGATCAAATCGGACGCCCATAAATCTCATTTGGCCGATTTGCGTCTTGCTTTTGAGAGGATGTGCCGCTATGGATTGAAGATGAACCCACTCAAATGTGCTTTTGGAGTATCGGCTGGAAAGTTTTTAGGTTTCATAATTCATGATAAGGGCATAGAGGTTGATCCGAAGAGGATAGAGAAGATCAAGAAAGTTCAGGCACTTACGTGCAAGAAGGACTTGCAAAAGTTCTTGGGAAAAGTGAACTACTTGAGGAGATTTATTGCTAACTTGTCTAGGAAAATTATTCCTTTCACCCCTATATTGAAGCTAAAGGATGAATCTGAATTCACTTGGGGGGCAAAACAAGAGGCATTCGAAAAGATAAAGGAATATTTGTCAACACCACCGGTTCTTCGTGCACCTAAGAGAGGAGTTTCTTTCAAGTTATATATTGTTGCCGAAGAGAAGGTAATCGGAGCTGTTTTGACTCAAGAAGACGAAGGTAAAGAATATGTGATTGCTTATCTTGGTCGACGTCTTTTTGATCCCGAGACAAGGTATGCCCATATAGAAAAATTATGCTTATCATTGTACTACGCTTGTGCTAAGATGAGACATTATCTTTTGTCTAGTACATATGTTGTTGCTTGCCAGGCCGATGTGATAAAGCACATGTTATATTGGCCAATTCTTCGTGGAAGGATAGACAAATGGGCATATGCACTAATAGAATATGACTTGACCTTTAAACCATTGAAAACATTAAGAGGTCAAGTTCTTGCTGATTTTATTGTTGAGCATGGTATTGATTTAGATGATGAAGTCAATTACCTTACTTTTACTCCATGAAAATTATACTTTGATGGATCGGTTTGTAAAGATGGCCAAGGTGTTGGTATTATTCTTATTTCTCCTAATGGTGCTGAAATTGGAATGTCAAGCCGATTAGATTTTTCTTGTACCAACAATCAAACCGAATATGAAGCTCTATTATTCGGGTTGATCATGTTGCGGTCTATGGAAGTAAAACATGTTGAAGCTTATGGTGATTCTTTGCTGGTAGTACAGCAAGTTGCTAGTGAATTTCAATGTTTAGAAGGATCACTAAGAGCTTGTTTTGATGCTTGCCTTGATGTTATTGATTATTTTGCCGAATTTCAAATTCGGCATATTTCGAGGCATGAAAATCAAAAGGCCAACATGTTAGCTCAGCAAGCATCTGGCTATGATGTCAGTGGACATAATTTCCATATTCAAGAACAGCCGATGCTTGAAGATTTTAATTTTTCCTGTATAGGTACAGACCAGTCGGCTAAGCCGAATGACCAAGTTGGCTCAGCCGACTACTCTTCCGCTATGGCCCAATCGGCTAAGCCGACTGCCCTAGTCGGCCAAGCCGACACCTCCAAATCAGCTAAGCCTACTGGCCCAGTTGGCTCAGCCGACTCCCCTATGACCAGCCCGGTCAATTCGCTTGAGAAGCTATCAAATCGGCCCGATATAACTTCCAGTGATGTTGGGGACGATTTAGAAGATTGGAGGACTCCCTTGTTAAGATATCTACGTGATCCAAGTGCCAAAATTGATAAAAGTGTTCGGCGGAGCGCTTTCAAATATGTATTGCATAATGATGAGCTCTATCAAAGAACCGCCCAAGATTTGCTGCTTAAGTGCTTGGGATCAGATCAGGCAAGAGTGGCTATGGGAGAAGTCCATGAAGGCATCTGTGGTACGCATAAATCGGCCCCGAAGATGAAGTGGTTATTGCGTAGAGCCGGTTTCTATTGGCCTACTATGATGGTCGATTATTTTCTCTACTACAAAGGTTGCGAAGAGTGCTAAAAGTTTGGAAATATTCAACTTGTGCCTACTGTTGTGCTTCATCCTATCATCAAACCATGGCCTTTTCGTGGTTGGGGGTTAGACTTCATTGGCCAAATATATCCCCCATCTTCGAAGGGACACCGATTTATGTTAGTTGCTATGGATTACTTTACTAAGTGGATCGAGGAAGTTCCTTTGAAGAATATGACACACAAGGAAATAATTGAGTTCATTACTGAGCATATTATTCATAGATTCGGCATCCCTCAAACGTTAACTATAGATCAAGGGACATCGTTTGTGTCTAAAGAGGTGAGGGAATTTGCCGAATTATATAAGATCAAGTTGCTCAATTCATCTCCATACTATGCTCAAGCCAATGGCCAAGCTGAGTCTAGTAATAATACTTTGATCAAGCTCATCAAAAAGAAAATTGAGGAAAATCCAAGGAGATGGCATGAAGTTTTGTCTAAGGCTCTATGGGCACATCGCATTTCAAGGCATGGTGCTACAAAGGTTACTCCTTTTGAGTTAGTATATGGCCAAGAGGCCGTGTTGCCTGTCGAAGTGAATTTGGATGCATACAGGCTTGCTAAACAAAATGATTTATCAGCTGTTGTGTATCATGATTTGATGATGGATAATATCGATGAGGTGACTGATGTAAGATTAAAAGCTCTCAAGGAAATAGAGAAAGATAAAGCTCGAGTTGCCAAAGCATGCAACAAGAAAGTCAGGAGCAAATCCTTCCAAGTGGGAGAATTGGTGTGGAAAACCATACTACCAATTGGATCGAAGAGCAATCAGTTTGGCAAGTGGTCACCAAATTGGAAAGGTCCTTACAAAGTGGTCAAAGTTATATTCGGAAATTCATGTGCTAGAGACATTGCAAGGTGAACATCTCACGAGAGCATTCAACGGGAGGTACTTGAAAGGGTACTTTCCAAGTGTTTGGTAAGAAGCCTAAGTGCTCTCCAAACAATGGCCGATACATGTATCGCCCTTAGAAAAAATGGCCGATGTATACATCGCCCTTAGTCACTAAGCAGCCGATGAGATGGGTACCATCGCTGTTTGGTTTTGAATAAGTGTTTTTAGGTTCATGCATCATTCACCTGAAAACAGGGGCCATATGTTGACAACCAAAAATGTCTATTTTGTGAAGTTGTCAAAATGTGAAATGGACTTCACCATTGCGTTCCTCTCGTTGAGACGGTCAAAAAACATATATGGAACGTCTAATTCGAAGTCCGAATAAAGAAGTTATGCCCTCGGAAAGATGCCTCGTTGTCGGGAGTTTCGACCCAAGTCGGGACTTCCGACTGTCGGAAGTTCCGATGGGTGTCGGGACTTCCGGGAAGCCTGAAGAAATCTGCTCTGGTGTCTGGGGTTATCCCTACGTCGGGAGTTCCGACAAAAGTCGGGAGTTCCGACATACCTAACAGAAAATCCTGTTCAGATCTGGCCTTTTGGATTTCGATCCGAACTGTTCCAAACTCATGGAAAACTTGAAAAATAAGGCTTGGAGAGGTTTTCTACTGGGATAATACCACCCCCTCTATATATATGAGATGATCATGGCCGATTGAGTTCCCATCTATCCTATCGTCATACAAACCAATCTATCAACTCCTTATGCCATAATTCCCCTCTCTCAACCCCTTTTGCTGTTCGTTGAGTTTCCCGGCGAGATTTAGCGGCATCCTAGGAAGTATTGCTGGTCTTAGGAAATCCTCCACGTGCTCCTCCTTGACGGATCTTTCCGGGAGAAGTTCGGGAGCTTTTTCGATCAAGAACAGGCTCTACATCGGTCTCATCGGTCTTTAGATTAGTTCGATCGATTACGCCACGTTGTTGCTGCGTTGCAGGTTGTGTGCAACCTCTTTAGGCGTCCAAGGCTCTGCTGGTGTGTTGGTTTTGGGTCATCTTCAACGTCAACAAGTTCCATGTTTGTATATATCTGCACGTGTAATGGATCTCAGCGGCTATTACTATCAACCTATTTTTGCTCTATCAATATTATATGTTATGGGAAGTATTTTTTTTAAATATTCGTATTGATCTGCACAAGCATATTTAACATATCAGAGCGGACAGGCTCAGTGAACAGTATGAATAGCGCGTGAGGAGCACACATCTTAGATAATATATATTTTTCAATAACAGTATAGGTGCACCTGAGAAATGGACGCAGTACGCAAATATCAATTTCTGGCTAGCAAGGCCTTTATTCAGATTTTGTACATCAAAGATACCGGAACAATAGCCAGCTACTGATCTAGTTCTATTTTTCAACTCATTACAGTAATATGCAGTTCATAGTTGCGATACAAGAAATTACTACTGCTTATGGCAATGGCTAAAGACCCACACTTAATTTTTTTCACGCCGACCTATCTGATCGATACCAACAGCATATTGAATCTTCGAATCGGTCGACTCCACACGTCGACCTACTCACTTTTCATATGCATCAGTTAGCCACTTGTTCATTCAAAACAAGCAATTCTTGAACACCTCGCGCTCCACAGCAGCTCTGTCGACCTGCACCGAAATTTCAATGACAAGTGAAATAAGTTATTTCACACGAACACAAACACAAACACAAACACAATTCAAATCTTTACGATCACATTATATCTGTATCATCATGTCATGATAGGTATTTTCAGCATTATGTTTGTCTTTGTTGGCGTGTTCCAATATGCTCTATGTTATGCGTGCTGTGTAGGAGGGGGAGGCGATGGGGGAGGGGGTGGAGAGGGCGGTTGCTATAGCCGAGGGTTGGAGTTTAGTTTATTCTACCTTCTTGCTCATGAAAGTACCTAGAGCGATACCAAAATTCTCCTTGCATTCTGCCTCTCATCTCACTTTGCTCCATGGCCTTAAGAACCAGATGCGCCCCTGGATCAGCTGAAATTTTTTACTCTATATCCACCATCATCCTTGTAAACTGTGTGATGCATGATGTACTCAAGTGAACCAAATTGGCGAACAAGATCCATTTGGTTGTCAAATTGGCGAATGTGATTATCTATGTAGTTCTTAACCTCGTGGTTGAAGTCTATGATGCTGTATCCCAGCACATTGTTGATGTACCCAAGAGCTGTGAACATGAGTTTAGCTTTTGCAGCCACTGGACTGTGTTCTGCTTCGGCCGTGAACTTATGCGGCTCACACGACACTGCAACAGTGTCACAGTGTATTTCCCATTAGCAAGCCCAGACACATCAATATTGGACACTTCCATCCCCAGTTTTGCTATAGCCGTGTCAAACTCAAGCCTCATCACTTGATATGATGCCTCCCAATCCAGCTTCTGTCCAAGATCAAACAAGATCACATAATCAGTATGAAGTGATGTTAAAGTTGTTAGCTTGCGCGAGAACAAATACACATAAGAAGTCATAGCCCATTGGTATGTTACCATTGGCATAGGTGCGGTCCTGTCCATACGAACTAAACTAGCAGGAGGTGGTTCCTTAGCTGACAGCATTGACACTACATTTGTAGTCACTGTTCTTTCTTTCATAATTGCTGATGCACATTTTGTTGCCCAGACATTCATAGCTCTTACTGCTGCTTTTGTGTATACTCTTGCCGTCGTATGGCTGTTAGTTAACCAGTTTGATAATGCACCTGTTAAATTGATTATGGAGCTATGGTATCCAGCAATAGAATCATCCATCTCGAAATATGCATTGATGAACCCCTCAAGAGCTGCCCCCATTTCATTGAAGATCCCCCTCTTTTCTGCTATCACAGCATAACTGTAATCTGCAGGGAAAATGCCATACTGCATCCTCAATGCCTCAACCACTGCGATGATAGCGGTACAATCTGCGTCAAACCCTCTTCTACTCTCTCCTGAAACTTCAAGGTCTATGCGGACACCTGGCACTAGCGTCGTTCTACAATGGATCTTTACTTTAAGTTTGTCCAGCTCTCCGTCATTTTCAACCAATTTGTTATGCTCAATCATGAAACCATGTCCTCGTCTGCCCCTTCCAACCAGGTCCCTATAGAGTGCAGTTAGAATATGCATTGGCCAAACAAAAACTGCAGACTCCATCCTACAATCCCACATCCCATACAAAACAGTTTATTACTTATGGCATGGCTTTACAAAAGAAAAATTCTTTCATATGTGATTAAAGATCCATATGACTGTATTATATTAGACATCAATTAGTGCCTTTCCTTCGATGCAATATCACAATCTACATGCCTATAACTTTACATGTGTTGGATTTAAAATAAAGACCTAATAAACTGCTTTTATTTCTGTCCGCTAATTAATACAACAACAACAACAACAACAACAACAACAAAGCCTTTAAGTCCCAAACAAGTTAGGGTAGGCTAGAGTTGAAACCCATCAGAAGCAATCAAGGTTCAGGCACGTGAATAGCTATCTTCCAAGCACTCCTATCTAAGGCTAAGTCTTTGGGTATATTCCATCCTTTCAAGTCTTATTTTATTGCCTCTACCCAAGTCAACTTCGGTCTTCCTCTGCCTCTCTTCACGTTACTATCCTGGCTTAGGATTCCACTACGCACCGGTGCCTCTAGGGGTCTCCGTTGCACATGTCCAAACCATCCATGTCTCCATCACTTGTTCGAACTCTAGTCACAACATTGTTGTACATGTCCTTAATGAGCCCGACGTACTTCGTTGGGACTTTATGTTTGTCCAAAGCCCACCACATAACATTCCTTGGTATTTTATCATAAGCCTTCTCCAAGTCAATAAAAACCATGTGTATGTCCTTCTTCTTCTCCCTATACCGCTCCATAACTTGTCTTATTAAGAAAATGGCTTCCATGGTTGACCTTCCAGGCATGAAACCAAATTGGTTCACAGAGACCCGCGTTATTGCTCTCAAACGATGCTCGATAACTCTCTCCCATAGCTTCATAGTATGGCTCAACTTAATTCCCCGATAATTAGTACAACTTTGAATATCTCCTTTATTCTTGTAGATCGGTACCAATATACTTCTCCTCCACTCATCAGGCATCTTGTTCGATCGAAAAATATGGTTGAACAGCTTGGTTAGCCATACTATAGCTATGTTCCCGAGGCATCTCCACACCTCGATTGGGATACCATCTGGTCCCATCGCCTTACCTCCTTTCATCCTTTTCAACGCCTCTCTGACCTCAGATTCTTGGATTCTCCGCACAAAGCGCCTTTTGGTGTCATCAAAAGAGTCATCCAACTGAAAGGTTGTGTCCATATTCTCACAATTGAACAATTTATCAAAATACTCTTGCCATCGATGTCGGATCTCATCCTCCTTCACCAAAAGATGCTCCCTTTCATCCTTAATGCACTTAACTTGGTTGAAGTCCCGTGTCTTTCTCTCACGAACCCTAGCCATCCTATAAATGTCCTTCTCTTCTTCCTTCGTACTCAAATGTTGGTAAAGATCCTCGTACGCTTTACCCTTTGCCACACTTACAGCTCGCTTTGCAGTCTTTTTTGCCACCTTGTACTTCTCTATGTTGTCCACACTCCTATCATGGTACAAGCGTATATAGCATTCTTTCTTCTCCTTAATAGCCCTTTGGACTTTCTCGTTCCACCACCAAGTATCTTTAGCCTCGCCTCCACTTCCTTTGGTTACTCCACACACCTCTGAGGCCACCTTCCGAATGTTGGTTGCCATCTTCTCCCACATGTTGTTTATGTCGTCTTCTTCCTTCCAAGAGCCCTCTTTGATAACCCTTTCCTTGAATACCTCGACGTCTCCTCTTTGGGTTTCCACCACTTTGTTCTTTGAATCTTAGCTTGTTTATCCCACTGGCACGCACTTTGGTGAAAATCTGCCACCAAAAGCTTATGTTGAGAAACAACACACTCCTCGATATCACCTTGCAATCCAAGCATGCTCGTTTGTCCTTTCTTCTTGCGAGGACAAAGTCAATCTAGCTACAGTGTTGTCCGCTACTGAAGGTCACTAGATGAGATTCTCTCTTTCTAAAGAAAGTGTTGGCTATCATCAGGTCAAAAGCTACCGCTTGAAGTCCGAACTTCCTCCCCTCCGATTCCTACTACCATACCCAAAACCTCCATGAAGCGCCTCGAAACACCTGGCGCTTAGTAGTACCTACATGCCCATTAAGATCTCCTCCTATAAAAAGCTTCTCACTACTAGGTATAGCTCTAACCAGGCCATCTAAGTCTTCCCAGAACTGTCTCTTAGCACTCTCGTCGAGGCCTACTTGGGGGGCATACGCACTAATTACGTTCAAGACCATATCACCAACGACAAGCTTGACTAAGATAATCCTATCTCCTTGCCTTCTCACTCCCACCACACCATTCTTGAGGCTCTTATCAATCAAAACTCCTACTCCATTTCTATTCGCGACTGTCCCTGTGTACCAAAGCTTGAAACCTATATTATCCACCCCCTTCGCCTTCTGACCCTTCCATTTAGTCTCTTGAACGCATAATATATTTACACGCCTTCTAGTCGTGGTATCAACTAATTCTCTTAACTTACCTGTAAGTGACCCTACATTCCAACTACCTAAACGGATCCTAGTTGGTTCGACTAGCTTTCTTACCCTTCGCACCCATCGACTCAGATGCGAAGACCCTTGCTCATTTTTCACTACACCCGGGCGCCGATGTAGCACGCCACTAAAGAAGCGACGACCGATCCTTGCTCACTTGACACCATGCCCGAGATCACGACACATAGCGTCACGGGGGTGACGACCGGCCCTGCCCATTTAACACCATACCGGGTTCCGATATGTATGGCGTCGCTAAGAGGTTAACGCCCAACGATTTTCTTTCGGGTTTCATCTCTATTAAAGTGGCTAAGTTTTTACATTGGCTCGCCACGCCTAACACAACCCTCCTCCTTTACCAGGGCTTGGGACCTGCTATGCTGGGACACCAAAGGCGCCCCACCATATGCGGAGTTGTCCGCTAATTAATAGTTTATATCTATATATTATATAGGGGAAAAGAACACAGATTGTCAATGCTGATTTACATTATCAGTTTTATCTGCATTGGATAATGGAATATTGATCTATTTCCACTGCCCAACTGTAGTATAATCTGTAGTGTACCCAACAAAACTCCAGACTTAGATGGATCCAATAATGCTCGGCTGAAAGCGAATGATTAGATCCAGTACACGTACCTGCGGGTGCTCCCCTTCGTCGCCGGAGGTTGCAAGCTGCTTTCGCCATCAATCCAACCTTCTTTCTTCGCGGCGTCACTTGCGTTAGGGTTTGGCATTGTGTTGATATTGCCCGCTTTGTCAAAGTAGAGACACTACGGTCGACTGGATCTATCTACTCTCACAACCAGTCCCTTCCAGTAGAAAGCCACCCATAGATCAGACAGCTGTGAATCTGGGGTCAACAAAAAATCTCCACCGTGGACCTTTGTCATAGGAATTCAATTGATCATCTAGTTCCTTGAACAATGCAATTATAGCAGCCATCATCTTGGTAGTATAAGGATGCCCATGCACGAAGTGATTGAGAATTTCTTCTTCCCTGAGATCAACATTCACCGGGCTATCGAAACAAACCCAAACCCTGTTGAAATATATTTATTGCGTCAAGTACCATATATACCCAAAAACACAACTATATAGAGGTAATCTGCAGGATAGATTGGGAGGCAACATATATACCTATTTCTGGTTGACCTTTGGATGTCTTTTGTTTGGAGAGTACTCTGCAGGCAAATCTGTTGCCTATCATTGGGAAAAAATTAGTCAATCATACTCTCAAATGGTTTAATCCATGAGGCTTGGAACCAGTGGGATTGTTGCTGGCTTGTTGCCCTGATCCATCAGTGTCAGGCTTAGCATTATCATAAACCGGTTGGTGTGTGATTTACCCTTTAAAACAAAAAAGGGCGAGATAAAGATCAGACAAGACAAATAGAAAAGTTATGAATGGTAATGCAACAATGCATATACACTAGGTGTTTCTAAGAACATTCTATGTACTTTTCCTTTTCACCAAACTGCTACATAAGCCAGACGCTTGAAAAGCAAATTCAGACCGGGGTGCAGATTTCCTGTTCCTGAAACAATGCAAGAATGAGGTGGTGAAAATCTAGGAAACACGCGGCCAGAGTTGTCGTAAAGAAAGAATTGTACATCGAGTTGAATAATATAAATTAAGAGAATTAATTTCAGGAGCGCAGAACAAACCAATCATAATAATAAAAAGGATGCTAATAAAGGCACATCTAAGTTGCACATTTGATATCATGCAGAAACAATGGCGTTACCTTGATGGGGTGGAGACTTGTCGTACACAGGAACGTCCTCCATTGCATTCTTCGTTTGAAGACTATGAGTCGATGTTGGTGGGGTGAGGTCATCTGCATGATGCAGAACAAACCCAATTTATCTGAACATGATCATAAATAATTCAGAAGCCTAAAACATGTAGCATCCAGTATCAGAGGTAACTAATTACCCATCATCATGTGTACACATTGCACTGATTTTAGTTACTGACCAGGTGGAAGTACATGACCAGACTGAGGCCGGAATGAAAATAGCCAACTGTCTGCTTCTGACTGAGATCCCATGACCTATAACTAGCTGACATCTATGAGTTCTTCTGCTGCTACCTGTAACTCTGATATCTTGGAACTTAAAACTCCTAGTTCCAGCAAAGTAAACGCTGCTGGTATACACTGAAACAATATTCCTAGTTTCAACATAGATAACGAATAATGACACACCCCAATATTTGAGTGAACATGGGAACAACAATTAGAATCATGGCACAAAAACCATCCAGGATAATAAATAGCCAGGTACCCCTGCATCATAGCTACACATTGCAAGGATTTTAGTAAATGGACAGTTGGCAGCGCATGAGCTGACTGGCGACGAAATGTAAAAAGTCAACTATCTACTTTTCACTATAATTGCATAAATAAGAACCATCTGAAAAACTCTGATTTCATCTACTGCTGACTGTAACTCTGATATTTTAGAACTTGAAACTCCTAGTTACATCGAAGTATATGGTGATAGTACATAGATAAACAATCTTTCTACCTCAACAATCAAGCTGGATAATCACACACCCTACGAATAACTCAAATATTTTCATATAAAAAATAAGGCTAAGATACAAGATGGACAAATAAAAATCTTACAGAAATAGGCGCACGCATGCCTCCTGCCAGTGTACCCTGCTTCCATGTCACCTCTAACATCATTTTCTGGAACATCTCATAAAAGTGTTTTCAGGCCAGAGTAGCCATCTCAGATTGCTAGCAACAAATAAAAATTCATGATTAGCCATATGGAAATATATAAGTACCATGGAAAGCAACAAAAAATGAGGATGTTGTAGCTCAAGATAAGTTACACGCATTGAGCATTGGTGATCCATCATTGTGGGTTGTGCGCGCCACCGTTGGGCCAGCCGAACTCTCACACAACGATTGGCGCTACATTGGACAAATGATTTAGAGATTTATATGGTTAATCCAGAGAAACATGCTAGAGTAAGTATGCATGCGTGTAATGCATATTGTTGGAAGACAGTTCGGTCATGTCTAAAGGCACACATGATGCTTTGTCCAGACAGCAAAAAAATCATTGACCTCAGCGACAGTTTGCCTGGTAATCCGGCGTGATGCTTGTTGTTCTGCGTTGGCTGCTCGCTGATTAACAATAGACAGGAAGGCCTTGGCGTCGAATATCACCGCTGCCATCAATCTCTATGTTTGTACCCACCTTCCCTTTCCGACGAGAACCTGCAATCGTGGAGAAATTCGAACTGACATAATAAATTCATCCATGTTGCCAGGCTTAGGGTCGCGAAAATAACATGACATCCCCATCTATTCCAAAGAACCACAGATTGAAACTAAAGCATCTTAGCTAACCTTCCTTCCGCAGACGAGCCGCTGAAGAACTACGCATAGATTGATGGGGATGGTTCTGATCTTCATCCATCCGGTCTCGGGGAACGATATTTAGATTCGCCCTTACCACTCGTAGAGTTTCAGACAATACTGCAGGCTGAAGAACTGCTATATAAGAATCCGAAAGGAGGAAGAGGTCAGGTATCAACCAGGAACCCTAAATCTGCCGTAGCTATGGGGTGTGATGCACCAACCCTAACTCGGTCGCAGATTTGCGCATTCCTGTAGCTCCGAAGCAGCCGGCATGGTTCTCATGGCGACTCAACCACAGTGTTTCCTCTGTTTCGCTGATTAGACCGGACAACAGAGCATCCGAGGCATCACTGCTCCCGAATAGCTATTTCTCCTATTTTTCTACGCGTACACGCCCTCTTAGGAGCTACAGCGCTCCTTATGCCAGTCTCAACAGAGAGTTTTATTTTTTATTTTCAAGACTGTCATATCAACTCTATAAAATTGATTTGAGAAATAAAACTAGCTTTCTCGATGGGGTTTTATTTTACTGTTTTCAAAACAAGTTGCAACACTTAACGTATGCAAGATGTTGTGCTCTCATATGCCATGTAAACTATGTGACCCTTCAAAATTATATCTAAACTAAACTATATCGGAACAGATGCATTCAATCTCTGTCCTGCAGCAACTAAAATAAAACACGAGCAATTAGTGATCACAAAGCACATCGATTATTTGCAAAGACAGAAACTTGATTCCTCCTACGTTGATACGTACTAGTATAGTAATCAAGGTTAAATCCAGCAGCAAGTAACTAGCAGCAGCGACCCATGGCGTCGTTCCAGAAGAGCCAATGGTAGTGGCGGCGCGAGGACCTTGCTCCAGCTGGGCGGACGGCCGGGGTCGACGGCAAACGTGGAGAGCGCGAGGCTGGGCAGCCGGCCGCGATCGACGGCAGACACGGAGAACGCGAGGCTGGGCAGGTGGCCGGGGTCAATGACAGACGCGGGAGAGCTCGATGAGGCCATGCCCAACCGTGTGCCGCCATGTAGGCGTGCTTGTTCCGCTCAGATGCCACCAGCACGCCGCGGAAAGACCGTCGCCCGCCTGGCCTGCCGGCGTTATCGTCGGCGAGTGTGACTATGGGTCTATGGCAAGGCTGCGGCCAGGATCCGGACGGGGTGGGGAAAGGCAGTGGCGGAGCCAGGATTCCTGTGGAGCCCGGGCAAGCCACCGAAGATGGCCACTCCCAGGCCGTTGCCGGTGCCGGGGAGGCAAAGCGTGAACCTCCTGGCAACCTTCTACTTGCTGGCGACCTGCGCCGGCAGGGCGAGTTTGGAGCGCGCGAGGCCGGCGACGCCGACGGCGCCCACGGGGAGGCCAGCGAGCAAGGTCCGCGGCACCCAATCCGCGACGGCGATGAATGAGACCTCGCCGAGCAGATTGGCGCCGTCAGTGGCATTGGCCGTGACACACGTCCGCGTGAGGTCCCCGGCCCTGCCCGGCGTGCGAACGGGTTGTATGGGTGCGCCCTGCACCTGCAGCGCAACGGGTTGGACTCGTCGGCCACGTCGTGGCCCGTGCGCGGGTAGCCCGGCGGGTGGTGCGCTTGCGCGTCTGCGCACGCCGCGTGGTGGCACTCGTAGCTTGGGTGCGCCGCGGCGCACGTGGACCAGAGGAGCGGGCCGGAGAGGTCGAGGACCAGCGGCTGCGCGTCCTTTAGCGGCGCCGTGTACAGCTTGGTGGCCGCGTCCTTGGTGATGGCCGTCACCAGGGGCTTGCCGCCGGACGTCGTTGACATCCCTGTTTCCGCTGTGCATGGCGAGAGGAGGCTGAGTGCCGAGATGACGACGAGCAGCTGCGGTTTGGTGTGGCACTGTCACCGTCAGACTGTGATCGTCACACCACATGTTAGGGTTTAGGTTTTGCTTTAGATCAATCTATTTTTGAACAATCGCTGTCGTCGTTTGTGAAACCTCAACTTCGAGGGTTTAATCTTCTGCAATTATCACTTTCAATTGAGTTGCTTGTTTCGAATTATTGCTTGTGTTCTTCGTTTCACAAGTAGGAATTAGCCTTCTTGGCGAGGTCAACAGGATCAGTGATATGGTTGATGAGTCATGGTACTAAGATTGCATGGTTTAGATCTTTCGATTAGAAGTCGGATCGGTGTTTCGTGCTCCACCAAAATTATAGTTATCTCTACTGACTGAAGATCGAGAACCCCGGCCCCATCATAACCAGTGTCGTTTCAGAAGTGCTACCAATAGACACAGATCCTTATGGTCAATTACCTAGACACATGGAGAACTTTCTTCTCACCACGTGAAACAGAGCACGACGGCTGCATGGTCGATTAGACGTCAGCATGGCTCGTGTAACCTCCACCATGTCTCAAGGGCTGCTGATGGACGCAGATCCTTTCCCCATTATGGATGTACATATATATGCTCTTAACAGTGGAAATTCTAAGGCAATTGAAATGTTGTGGCTTGCATGTTAGGCCCCGTTTAGTTTCCCCCAAAATCTAAAAAATTTTGCGCAGTACCCGTCACATCAAATCTTGCGGTACATGCATGTAGTACTAAATGTAGACGAAAAAAAAACTAATTACACAGTTGGATGAGAAATCACGAGACGAAACTTTTGAACTTAATTAGTCCATAATTAGACACTAATTGTCAAATAAAAACGAAAGTACTACAGTACCCCAAACCCAAAAAATTTTGAATCTAAATACACCCTTATTAGAAGTCCGTAACAAGCAGCCTTGCCGGCTGTAGCCACTAATGAATTACTCCCTTTGACCCTATATGTAGGTCGTTTTTGCTCTTAACCATATGCAGCAATAGTTATCTTAACCTGGCCATACTCTGAGTACAGGTGCATTGATGATCGAGTAAATCTAGACATTTACGTTTGCTCCCAGAACAACAGAGAAAGGGGACCCTAGTCCATAACAGCTTCCACTCACTCATCACACATTATTCATCAATGATTACACCTCTAGAATTTCGGTAACAAATAAAACCTTTTAATATAGACCATGTATTGTATGGTGCACAAATTAAAGAGTGGGCGTCCTTTTACATCTATATATGGAGTGATTAAGAATTCCCCAGTGCCGATATGCAACCCTGACTCTGTCCCCATTGCTCATGTCCAGCCCTTCAATTGGTAGATTTAGTCCCAAAGATCTAATATGAGGGATAACAACATGATGACTATGTTCTTGTCCTCTATGGTTTTTGGATCCTTTTTGTTGCCTGTTTTGTGTAAGTATATATGATGATCTGAATTCGCTTATCTTTAAATCTGTGACAGATAGATGCATATGTGATTATTACTAATGATGTACAAACATATTGCAGGTCATTCCCAGATACCGGATGCTAGGAGTTCTATTGCCGCAGCCGACAACTCTATAACAGTACAAGGAGATGTCTCTTTGATATTTTGCGCTAAAACCTAGGTCATGTTTAGTTCCTCTAATTTCCTGATTTTAGCAATATGCAAAAAGAAAATTCTCCATCACATTAAACTTATGGTATATGCATGAAGTACTAAATGTAGATGAAATCAAAAACTAATTGCACAGTTTGATTGTACTTTGTGAGACGAACGTTTTGAGCCTAATTAGTCAATATTTTGACAATTATTACCAAATACAAACGAAATGCTACAGTGCGGTACAGTGCAGTTAGAAGATTCGTGCCAACTTTGGGCGCCAACCTTAAACGCGCCCCTACTGCAGTTACTTTGGTATACTTCAGACGTGCTACTGTTGCCCGAACGATGCACGACCAGAGTATTGCCACTTGACATTGGCAGAGTGTAGGGACCACTGCGCCTCGTGCAGACCCAAATGCTCGCAGAACCAACAATAATGGAAGATCAGCCGTTGGATGCAACAATGGGTACTCTACATTATATATAGGAAGTTTTGTGCAATCCTAAAGTCCTCAGTTTGTAGCTAAATAATAATACTGGTCCATATGATATATTATTTGTTTTACGTGTGTTGATGGTTTCCGTTTGATATAATTAATGGATTCATTCGTTGTATATACAAGCAATCTCTCTCTTGTTCTTCCTCCGTCTTTCTATGATTCCAATTGGCTTTTGTCTGAATGTTGCTCTGATTGACCTTTCCAAGAAAAGTTTGCATGAATCTTGAAATAACCTAAGAATTAATAAAATTTTTTCTGAATTAATTTACCCACGGATCTGAGCCCTATCCATACCCATACTGAGCTCGACCCTTTGGTGATCCACTCGGAGAGCGTTGACTTCCAATTTGTTTTGCAAGCATGATGGCAGCGCCTCCCCAAGCAGAGTGTTTGCAGTTTTCAGAACGCTAAACTCTCTGTTTCGCTGAAATTTGACTTATGCTGATAATTATATGGATTTGTCGTGAGAGAAAAACATTGTTCGTTCTCTGAAAAATACTGCAGAAGTAGTTCAAGCGAACAAGTATCTCTAGTTTGATTATATTTATTAAATAAACGAATGCTTTATAACACACAAAAAAACAAGTTTATGACAAATACAAAAACTGCAGGAGAAATACAAAACTAGCACATACACATGATCAAGTCGAAACTCGAAAGTGCTCGGTGTACCCTACCTAGCCAGCGAGAGTAAAGTTGAAGTTACTGCACGTCGTCTGCCTTCCGAAGAGCAGGCCACTGAAGCCGAGCTGTCCCTTCTCCTCATCGAACACCAGCAGGTTATTCTCCATCTGGAACCCTCCGATGACCACCGACGGCGCCGGCCCCGCCGCACCGCCGCCGTAGCCGTGCCCTCCCTCCTGCTTCTCTTCCTTTTTCATCTCGAGGAACGCGAAGCATGCGGTGTCGTCGCTGACCTGCACCATGGAGTTGCCGCCGAACACCGTCCAGTTGGCGCCGCTCTCGAGCATCAGGTCCACCTGCGGCACGGCGTAGCCGAGCCGCGTCGACCCGAGCTCTCGCGAGTCGTAGCACAGCTCGAACGGCGGCTTCGGCGGGGTCACCCTCTTCCTCCCGGCCGTGGCCGCGTCGAACGCCCTCACGAACGGCGCGTACACGTCCGGCCGGAGCACCGTGTAGGGGATGCGCGAGCACAGCGCGACGGCAAGTGGCCCCAGCTTCTGCACCTCCACCCGCGCCTGGTTCACGGCGATGCCCCTGGCCGAAACGAAGTACCCAGGGACCCGGGGGTTCCCACGGAGCGGCGTGGTGCCCGCCAGCGATGCCGTGACGTCGGGCCGGCCCGGAGGGAGCAGGAACAGCGGGCCCCCGCCGAAGATGGCCACTCCCATGCCGTTGCCTTCTCCTGGGAGGCAGAGCGCGAATTTCCTGGCGACCTTCTGCTTGCTGGCGACCTGCGCCGGCAGGGCGAGCTTGGAGCGCGCGAGGCCGGCGACGCCGACGGCGCCCGCGGGGAGGCCGGCGAGCAAGGTCCGCGGCGCGCAGGCCGCGACGGCGGTGAACGAGACCTCGGCGAGCGGGTTGGCGCCGTCGGTGGCGTTGGCCGTGACGCGCGTCCGCGTGAGGTCCCCGGACCCTGCCCGGCGCGCGAACGGGTTGTAGGGGTGCGCCCTGCACCTGCAGCGGAACGGGTCGTCCTCGTCGGCCACGCCGTGGCCCGTGCGCGGGCAGCCCGGCGGGTGGTGCGCGTGCGCGTGCCCGCAAGCCGCGTGGTGGCACTCGTAGCTCGGGTGCGCCGCGGCGCACGTGGACCAGATGAGCGGGCCGGAGAGGTCCAGGACCAGCGGCAGCGCGTCCTTGAGCGGCGCCGTGTACAGCTTGGTGGCCGCGTCCCTGGTGATGGCCGTCACCAGGGGCTTGCCGCCGGACGTTGTCGACGTCGCTGCTGCCGCCGTGCGCGGCGAGAGGAGGCTGAGCGCCGAGACGACGGCGAGCAGCAGCTGCGCCATCTTGGGCTGGGCGGGATGGTTTGTTCTGGACGTCTGGTGCTGTGACTGTGATCGAGTCGGAGTGCTTAAATATTGCAGTGCGCCGCTAGCTAGCTGCTGCAGATCTGACTGTGAGGACCTTGGAATGCTTGACGGGATGCTTTTTTCTAGGTTATCGCTAGTTTTCGTCAACCATGGCATCTGCTAGCTGGAGACGATGGATCCATGAGGGAGCGTCTGGGGTGGGGAGTGCCGCGATTCCCGTCTGGGGACTTGATGGAGGCCTCGATTCTGCATTTCGTCAACACGCGCAGAGTCTGTTTGAAGAACAGGATTGAAAGCGTCAGCTCGATCTTGCTTAATCGCATGTGCATTCATTGTTGTTAGTGTCTCACTCCCATGTGTAGGATTATTTAGCCGGTGTCGGTGTTTGCAACTTTGCCATTCCCAGGTCTCAGCTCGCATGGCCAACACAGAAGTTGCATGCCTGCATGCAGGCATTTCTCTTCTCGAACGTGGCCTGCACGCACAACTCTGAGGTCTGAGCTAGCATTACCGGAGCTCCACGAGGACCACGACGACGACGTCGGGTTCGAGCAGCGTACATATACAGCTTGTTCGCTCGTTGGTTTCAGCCAGTCCAAACCAGTCAGCCAACAGTGTTTTTCTCTCATAATAAATCAGCACCAGCCAGCCCAAACCAGCCCAAAAACCAACAAGCTAACGGATCGGATCTGCCTCGTTCTGGGGCGCCGCGCGCTCCTCTACTCCTCCATGCCTCCATGCCTCTAGCTAGGCTCTAGTCAAAGGGTAGCATTTCAAATTTTAAGTTCTGATTCTTTTTTCTCTGTTGTGGCACTCGAGGCCGATCTATCCGTGCCTGACGCCGTGCTTTCAGTGCGAGATTATTAAAGCTCCCCGTAAAAATTGCTTGTTGGTTTTCACAGAATCACACGGCAAGAGATTTTTAGAAATGATCCCATTCGTAACCGTCTACACATGCTCTAACCGATCAGAATGATAACTTCAGTACTCCGTATGAGACTTTGTTTGGCTGTACTTGAGTCCATTCCATTCACATCTATTGTCCTAGAAGTGAGTGTACTCCTAGAAGGCCATGGCTATTTCATGAGCATTAAATTGGATGACACATCAACAAATATGATAACATGGCAGTATATTTATTAGGAGAGAGATGATTTGGGTTTCGTGGGGATGAAACGAGCAAGCAGCGTTTCCAACGTCTAGGAAAGCGGGTGAAACCCGCGTTGAGGCCCTCGCGTTTCATCCTCAACTTTTTTTCCGATCTGCTGCGGCTCTCTCGTGTTCTACTCCCCGCCATGGCGCCATCTCAGCTCCTCTGTTCTCTACCGCCTCCGGTCACCTGGCTGCCTTGCTCCTCCTCCCGTCCGTAGCTTTTCGGCGCTATCTTGCTCGGCCTCTACCGCGTGGTCCGGCGCCGGCTGCTATGTGCTACCGCCGAGGCTGCAAGCAGCGAGGGAAACAAAATCCTCGGTATCACGGAGGTCGGAGGCATTCATTGAGCCACGTCTCGTCCTTGTGCTAGAGGGAAACAAAATCCTTGTTCTAGACTTCCAGAACGTTTGTGGATGCAGATTTCGTCTGTTTCAGACTTGCATAGACCCTTGTTCCCGTATGTAGTTTTGTCTGTAGTTCTCAGTAGAACATGGAGCATATCTGCTCCAAACATGTGCAATTGTTAGCCTTTTTCTCAAACATGGCATTCCTTGCTGATCGATGAACATCAACAACTAGAAGTGTTCCTGTTTCTCATCGACTGTCGTTGTTGCGTTCAACTGCTACGCAATTCATATGCATATCTGATCTCTCCACCATGCAATGATTTAATGTTGTATCTAGCATATGAAACTATGTCATGAAACTTTGCATTGAGGGAGACTGTTTCATTCATGAACATAAACCTACAAAAATGATGTGACACTCTTGGAAACCGTGGAATGAAACACACCATTGAGACCGGCCGAACAACACATGTAAAATGAGATGAATAAGAGTGAAGCCAAACAAAACCTAAAATAAAACTCCAAGTTGTTGCTTCAACGATTCTATTGTAGTGATGGCTCAACATCTTCTCGAAAGAACAAATTCAGCTTCAGCTTTCATAACAAGTCCAATAGGAACCTGACCTGCTTTGCGCCAACGTGCACTCCATCGTGGATCACTGATCGTTCAGATCCATCCACTCACAATACCATACCATAATGTTACTCCATTTATTCCAAATTATAAGATGTTTTGAGTTTTCTAAATATATTGTTTTTACAATGTATCTAGTCATAGTATATATCTAAGTTTATAGAAAACTGAGATGCTAGCGTCCGGACATCCGGACAAACACACGCATACGGACGCCCACGCCTGTGCCCCGTGTTGCGTGCATCTTCGTTTCTTGCGCCCTCCTTCGTTTCCCTAAGTCTATGCCCCATAATGTATCTAGTACAGTTACAGTCACTACCCGAATCCTCAAATTTGTCGAGTGCTTTTATGTTTGCTGAGTGTATTCCATCGGACACTCGGCGAACATGTTCTTTGCCGAGTGCTGCGCTAAAAACATTCGGCAAAAAAAAAACACTCGGCAAAGAGGGGATTTGCCGAGTATCAACAAAAAAAACACTCGGCAAAAAAATAAAATCTTTTTTCTCGAAAAAAAGGAGAAAAAAAAACTTTGCCGAGTGCTCAGATCTAGAACACTCGACAAAGAAATAAAATCTTTTTTCTGGAAAAGAGAAGAAAAAAATTTAAAAAAACTTTGCGGAGTGCTCAGATCTAGAACACTCGGCAAAGAAATCCGCGCGCCCTCCTCCCTCTCTCCAAAGCCGCCGCCCGGCCCCTCCTCTCCCTTTCTCCCCCCTCTTCCCCGGATCCAGCCGCCGCACCGCCCCTCCTCCCCGGATCCGGCGGGGACCCCGCCCCTCCTCTCCCTTTCTCCGGCCGCCACCCCGGCCCCTCCTCTCCCTCTCTCCGGCCGCCGCCCGCCCCTCCTCTCCCTTTCTCCCCCCTCTTCCCCGGATCCGGCCTCCGCACCGCCCCTCCTCCCCGGATCCGGCGGGGACACCGCCCCTCCTCTCCTTTTCTCCCCCCTCTTCCCCAGATTCGGCCGCCGCACCGCCCCTCCTCCCCGGATCCTGCGTTGACCCCGCCCCTCCTCCCGGATCCGGCGGGGACTCGCGGGGCGAGGCCTCGCGTCGGGTGCTCCGCGAGAGGCGGCGGACTCCGTGGTGGTGGGCGCGATGGCCGGCCGCGAGGTGGTCGTGGTCGAGGCGGGCCCCAGCTTCGACACCAGCAGCTCGGGCGTGGTGGCGTGGCGGGCGTGGTGGCGGCGGGAGGCAGCTCAGTGGTGGGCGTCGGCCGATGGTGGCGGCCAATGGTGCTTGTTTTTTTATTTTTTTCGAAAAATGTTTGCCGAGTGTTTTTTGGGCACTCGGCAACCGACAAAAAACACTCGGCAAAGAATGTTTGCCGATAAACAGCCTGTTCATTTCGGCTGAATTGACTTATAAGTCATGGCTGAAAGCACTGCTGGCTGATTTAGTGTGAGAGGAAAACACTGTTCAAGCCGTGGATTATAAGCCAGATACAAGCGAATAAGCCGAAACGAATAGACTGAAAATCTTTGCCGGGTGTCTGTTGCTGAGTGCAATACTCGACAAAAAATTTGCCGAGTGTTTTTAGGGCTTCCGGCACTCGGCAAAGCTCGCGTATCCGTAGTGAATAGTATACCAGGAGTTGATGGCGATGCCTTAGTCAGTGTCTTGTGTCCTGTCCTCATGTCAAATTTACTTTGGAACTCATGTCTTCTGTGCCATGTGTAATTAACAATAATGGAGTTATCTATTAGAAATAAAGTTTTTAAGTTCGCAGTCCAATGCCTACATCATTATGCTCACTTTGGTCCTGTTAGGGCAGTCCCAATGGTGTATTGATGATGGTTTCTATCCTCGTTAAATGACTTGTCACGTAGGCAAAACGCTGACATGGCAACGTAATTAATGAAGAAAGAGAACAAAAATCATAGAAATGGTTTCCTCGTGAAGAAATCAGGTCTACTCTTGACCCAATGCACCAAGAAACCATGAAATCGTCATTGGGGAGAAACCACCAGTTTCTAGAGAGCTCGTGTCGCACTTCCATTGGATGAAGAAGATAGAGTTGGGAGAGAGAAAAAGAAAATAATTATTATTCATAGAAACCATAGTTTGGGAAGCAGTATTTTTTTAGTGCGATATCTTATGTTATAAAAACTACTAGTTTCTTTCGTTAGGACTGCCGCAAGTGGTCGGTGCATGCATGCAAGTGGTCGGTGCATGCATGCAGGCTTCTGAAACAGGATCTCACTAATCCCAGACGTCGGTATTAGTGTTCGGCCATGTTCGTTTGAACTGTTATCAGATATAGTATTTTTCTCTTACAACAGATCAGCGAACAGTATTTTTAAACCTAACTTTTCAGCGAAGCGAACACGCTAGGTCTGGGGCTCCGGGCGTCTGCCCGCCATGGGGGCGTGGCGTATCAACGAAGGTGCGGACGAGCCAACGGAAGTGTGCCTGCCCGCGCGTCACTAGGGAACACCACTACACGGACGTGCCGCATGCCCGCATGTGCGCTGACAGTCGCGCCGACGGGAGGGCTTGGGCACCACCATGGATGGGAGAATTCATAAAACAGCACTCCTTTGGATTGGTGTTCTCTCCTGTTGATTGGTATTGAGGAAAACAGGTGAACAGGGGTTCAGGAAAAGAACACCGATAATTGGTGAATCCCTTGCGCTCTTGCAAGGCACGCCATCCACCCTTTGTACCTCTGATTATTCTTTTAAACAAAGACACTACTATAACTAATAAATAAAAAAACACGCATATGAGGCAAGTTTTCAAACGGAAGATATGGAAGTTACATTAAGCATAAGCATTTTAGAAATTATATATTGAAAATAAACATCTAGAAAATTATATATTGACAAAAAAATCTAGAAAATATGC